CTTTCATAAACACACACTATAATTCACAGCAATTCACACACTTTACTTACGGTGCCTACTGCTTGCTTGACTCAATTATCTCTATATTCAATCTATCTCCAGCTTATATACTACAAAAGAGGGCATCTAGCAAATGCTGGGACATTCGTGAGGTTGCCCAATAAGTCACGATCCTTCTAGAAACTCCAGCGCGCATGCTCCCAGCGTCACATGACCTACACTGTCATAATAATATTGTCACAATTGTAGATATTCTTCTGTCATTATTTATATGTCAAGTAGTGAAAACACAATATATTTTCTAACAGAAAAATGTATATATATATCAATTCTCAATTGTGCCTATGTATATGTATATATGTTTTCTTGAAAGTTTGCACACAATACAATTTAAAAGAAGAAAAAAGTTATGTAGGGGATCTCGAAAATTGGATGATCAAGAGACTTATGGGCTGTTAGGCATAACTTAATTGATTTACTTTGAAAATTGGTATTAATAACATGTAAAAACACATTAAAAACAATAATCTAAATTCAGCCCATATGAGGGGTTGGAGGTTTGGGGATTGGATTCATGGATTTACTTTAAAATTATTGAGGATTGTTCAAAATGAAGTGTCTACATTTATAATTTTGAAATTAACATATTGTGAGTCTCAACTTGGGAATCAAAAGTTGTTTCCTGTGGGGTTGGGTGCTCAGATTTACCTGAATATTGCTAAAGCATGTAAATATTCGATCTAAACAAGTTGAGTAAATTATTTGTGTAGCTGTTTTGTCCCATGAAGTTTCATGAGTAATTCACTAGTCACATGTAGTAACAGTTTAGTTAAGTGAAGGTTTGTTTGTTTGTTTTTAGTTTTGCGCAAAGTTACATGAGGGCTATCTGCTCTAGCCGTCCCTAATTTAGCAGTGTAAGACTAGAGGGAAGGCAGCTAGTCATCACCACCCACCACCAACTGTTGGGCTACTCTTTTACCAATGAATAGTGGGATTGACCATCACATTATAATGCCCCCACGGCTGAAATGGCGAGCATGTTTGGTGTGACAGGGATTCGAACCCGCAACCCTCAGATTGTTAGCCGAGCGCCCTAACAACCTGGCCATGCCGGGCCCATTAAGTGAAGGAACAAGATTACTGTACAACTTTAAATTAATCTGAAGCTATTTGGTGTTTCTTTTTTGTTTTTTTATTGTTTTTACATGATAACTGTTCAGTATTAATCCAGCTTTGTCATTAGTATTGTTAATTTGTGATCCTGGTTAAATTAACACATTTTTCTTTTTTTAGATATACTTCATATGGATCACACGGTCCCAGAAAGAGTTCCCCTGGATGATAAATGTCATAAAAGAAATTGAAGAAAAGGATAAAACTGGTCTCATAGATATTCACATTTTCATCACTCAGTTCTACCAAAAATCAGATATGCATACTGTAATGTTGGTAGGTACAAAGTTTAAAACTTAGCTACATGTTTTGCATATTAGTATTTACAAAAGTATTTAAGTATCCCTTGAACGTCTGACATGGCCCATCCAACACGTTTTGCAAAGGAACTCGGTGATTATAGATAATTTTTTGTTTTCTTAAATTTCAAGCAAAGCTACTCCAGAGATATCGAGTCAAGTGCCCCAACCACCAGGCTCGTAAAAATAAATACAGACACTCACCTTCTTATCTGACAGTTCCATTAGTTGTTTGCTGTACATTCTTATATCACTGATTTTTGTATACTTTAAAAACATTTGGTCATTCCTTTTCTAACATTTCATCACAAAAAGAGTATAAATGTCCTTCTAATAACTTCATTTTATTATTTGTAATAAAATCATTCATAAACCCTTAAATTACCAACTTGGTAGAATAGTACTGACTTTTAAAACGCACCTTGGTAACTGTTTATGCTTGTGGGTCTAGAGCAAAGTTTAGAACTGAGGTTCTTAATAAGGCTTAAGCAATTTCTATTCTAGATGTGGCTTGCTCATACACAACTCCATGCAGAAGTTCAGAATCTTGCAGCAGGAGTTAAAATGTGGGTTAAGACTACCTAAGTTGAGCTAGCGCTTTTGACGACTTCTGGAGAAAGAGAAGTTAGACTATGCTGAGTCTGAATGCCTAAATATTCTCTGGGTTGGTCTGTATACAACACCAATATATTCACTGACAGTGCTCTCAAGCCTCCACCACCTCCACAATGATCAGTTGCTATTCAATGAAAAAGAATAGATGTGTAGTTGAAAAATCTTGATGATATCAGTTTGTTCAATACTAAAAATGCACGTATGTGTGTCAGTAAAATATGAGCTGGCTCTGCATATTTATTTTTAAAACTGAAATATTGTGTAGGATAGTGACATTTGATTTAATTACTATACCAATACAGTAAATCATCAATAATGTTTATTCATAATATATATATATATATATATGATTTGTGAGACTGAATATACACATACACTGAAATTGCAATAATCAGACATTGAAATGTTGAAATATTTGAAAATCAAATTGTTGTCTCTTTTCACTTGAAATTATGAAATCCATTAACATTTTACAGTTGCCATATACTTCAACTAGTATTTTGTAAATATTTATCAAACTAAATATTTATATCAGTCATAGTTAGAATGTGCATCACTTTCACTGTTGTTTAACTTCAGGTAGGTGAGTAATCCCTGCACAATATTACTTTGTTTTCTTTCAAATTTCACTAAGCTTATTACACAAACAGAACAAATGTAACTTAACCACCCGAAGTCATGAGTGACTGGTAGGTATTTGTAAAATCACTGGCAGTTTTTAGTAGTTGGCATATGGAGACCTTCAGTGTTCTTTTCCCTTAGCCAGCTGGTGGTGGTTGGCTTAGTGCAACTAGGAAAGAATCCAATCTAGGATTTTTCCTCTGTCAGTGGAACCATACAAGAACAAGACCCTATTTGTATATACAGTTTGCACTCAGCTGGTAATGATTGGCTTGGTGCAACTAGGAAAGAATCCAACCTGGGATTTTTCCTATGCCAATGGAATCAAACATGATCCTGCTTTGAATAGAGATAGAATTCAGCTGGTGATGGCTGGAATTTTTTCTCTGCCATTGGAACCACATCAGAGTAAGACCCTACTTTGATATAAAGATGACAGTCAGTCAGCTGGTGATGGTTGGCTTGGTGCAACTAGGAAAGAATCCAATTAGGATTTTTGCTATGACAGTGAAATCAAACAAGAATAAGATCCTGCTGTGATATAGATATTGCAGTCAGCTGGTGATGGTTGGCTTGGTGCAAGTAGGAAAGAATCAAATCTAGGAGATGGAAATCTTGCGATCAACTCCGAGGAGCCAAGAAAATTTGGCATATTTGCAGGTTCTGAGTTGGTTTACTTGTGGTATTGAGTATGGACACTACCACTGATATAGGATTGTTTTTTATATTATTCTGGCCTATTGAAGGCTAATGTGTATAAGATGAAGCCTTCTATCACTTCAATCACTCTTACAGAATACATGAATTGCCTAGTTTACCCACCAATATGGATAAAAAGTCATTACCTTAGTTCCAGATAAACCTAGGGAGATTCCAAAATTCAACAACAGACTGAGAGATTCTTTACTGAGGACAGCAACAGTGGTATAAATTGTCACATTGTTTCTTATGAAGCTTTACTGAAGAAGTTCAGTTGTTCCTCATATTATTGTGGTTAATTTACATAAATGTTGACCAAGTGTGCCATAAAATTCCACAAAAGAAAGAGTACATACAATGTAGTTGAGAAATCTTGACATTATGAATCTTTCAGTAAGCAGTAAAACTTTCTCTTTTTTTTTAAATTGCTTGTTTTACACAAAACAAAAGCTGTGAATATTTAGTATAATTAGTTAACTTTGTTTTCGCAACGTTTTTTTTTTCTCAGTATGTTTGTGAGCAGTACTTTCAGAAACTATCAGGACGGAACCTCCTTACAGGTTTACGTACACCAACACACTTTGGCCATCCAGACTTGCATCTGCTTTTAGCCTCTCTGCAAGTAGAACATCCTGGAGTAAGTGGGAAAAAAATTTTGTCAGATATAAATATCTTGTTACTTTCAGCATTCATATTTAATTTAAAATAGTAGTAGTCATTTAAATATAACAGAAACTAGTTTCTTGTTCATAGTAGATCATTCACTTCCAAGATTAATATGACATTCTTATCATGGCAGTACTTGCATGTTATTGATGTTAACACAATGTTAATTGTAAAGGATACTCCATTAATATATGTTCAGTTTTTAAATACTTTATAATAGAGATTGTTATACATATATAAATAACGTTTTTTACAGCACTGACCTGTTAACAGTCGTTTGGTCATTCTCTTTTAGGTGGGAAAGTTTGGTGTGGTTACTTTTGGTTCTCCTTCCTTGATGCAAAATGTCCAACAATCTTGTGATGAATTGAACAAGAGAGAAGGAGCTTTGTTTGCTCACCATTCTGAAGATATATAATTGTTTTATCATGTTCTCTTCATTTATTAATTATTTTGGTAACTTACATTGCTTGCAAATGTGTGAATGCTTTACTAATTTAACGTAAAATAAATGGTTAAGTTGCTGCAATTAGAGATTTAAATCCTTTTTCATAAACATACAAAGTTTGTTAACTTTGTTTTTGATACAAAGGTATCTTCTTCTTTCTTTTCTAGTCACAAATATTTTTTTCTTGGATTTTCTAGCATTGCAAATCCAGAAAATTACTGCTGACCCACTGTGTGACCCATATACTATGCACGTTCGTGGAACTAACTCTATGCTTTGTCTGTTCTTTTTTTATTTTAATTTATTATCTATCAAATTTCATTTCATTTGTTGTTATATACGTTTCCTATAATATTCTTTCCCATGCTTTTTACTATAATTATAATAAAAAGAAAGTATCAAATCCTTTTCAAGAGTCTACGATAGAATTGACATAGAAACCACATTCTTCGGAAAGTTGTCAGTCTTTTAAATCAATCTTTACTTTATACTTTGTTCTAATTTTGCCATAAAAGCAATGTTTTGTATTGGAACTGTTGATACAAAAATACAAATTGAATATATAGTGTACACAAAATGTTTAAAAGACATTACCATTAATCCACTGTATTTTCAGTATTTCATTCAAAGCTGAGAAATTAAAGACTTGATAAAATGTATGAAAGAAACAATTTGTATTACATAATACAAGACAAATAAGAGTATGCTTCTAAAATAAAGAGTTTTAAGTTTATATTCTTGTCAGTTGTAAAAACAATTGCTAAGAAACACTAATCAGACGACATAAACAGGCATAACCATTTAACACTGGTCAGGATGAAGTGGGAACTCTTACGCATCTTAACAGCTTGGTGATTCTTCAGGTTCTACTTTTAAGTTCTTTTCAGAACTTGTTGGTTGTTGGTATGAGTCTTATTATAATAGATAGATAGATACAACAAGAAACACTAAAATATTACCTGAGCAAGTATGTAATTGAGGTTTTATATAAGATCACTGATCCTGCCAATAATGAAGACCTGGAAAGGATACTGTGAAAAGTAACAATTCTTTAAAATTTAAAGTCAGGGAATTACAAAAATTACAGTTAAAGTTAAAGAATATTCTACAAAAAAATAAGCAAAAAGTCGGCAATTCAAAGAAAAATAATGGTAGTTGATATTTTGTTTATATATATGTGTGTGTGTGTGTGTGTGTGTGTGTGTGTGTGTGTGTGTGTGTGTGTGTGTATATATTTATATTGGCACACACCCTAAATTGATCACTAATAATGAAAGTGGCATGACATTACCGTGCCTTGTACCTGTGACAAAATTTTATTTTTTCAAACTTAAGAGTTAGCAAGCAACTGGAAACTGTTGTAATGACACAAGAAGAAATAGATATCCATAACAATATAGTTTTAATAAAATCAATATTCCTTTTAATTATTCAATGTAAAATACAAAAATTAGGAATATATAGTAAAGCATGCTAAGGTAAGTCATGAAATTGTAACACAGGAAAAAACCTTTCATGTCAGAAACTAAACTTGGATAAATTAAGATGTATACTATTGATATATGAAAAAAAAAGCTTCAGAGAGTATTATTTAAAACAAGTGATTGAAATTTTTGAATCAATGATTGATGTTGCAAGTAATATTAATCACAAAAAGACACTTATTGACAACTGTATATAAGAATGTATCTACAACAACACAGTGATTGTAATATTGTAAAGTTCTTCTGGTTAAATGAGTGGGAAAGCATTATGAATATCAATAAGAAGCCAGAAATATTAATGAAGTTCATAACTAACCAAATAAACACATTTCCATTGAGTATCCGATTTTCTGTTATTTTATTTTGCTTTAAAGTAATTTCTTTTTAAGACTTTACTACTGCAACATTCAAAATTACCAATTCTAAAGTTTTTTTCTTAGGTAACAATACATATCAAATGTAAAATAAGTTAGGCTTCTGTATTTGAAATAAGTAACAAAAATAAATTTTCAACACACTGACTTTATTGAAAAAACCTCTTCTCACACATACATTCTTAATGAAAGACTTAAAAATTACGTATTGCTAGATTTATCCCTCTGCGAGAGCAATGCAAATGTTTTTGAATTTCTAGTTATTCATTCAACCTGAGAATACTTTTTATAGTAATAATATCACAATTTTTATACACTTTGATTCTCTAACATCTCAACAAAGTTAACTTTAGTAAGATAATAATGCTATAAAACAACGTGGCACAAAAATGAGTTATGCAGAAGTTAAAATACTATACTAGGTTCACAAAACATACATTAAAACACATCTTCATTACACCTTCATAAAATGGTAATCCTGTAACAGAGCTTTAAGGTGATGTTATATTCTTCTTAATTTCAAAAGCAGTTGTTACAAAGTTTTTTTTAGTATGTAATAAATTCACAAATGTCCAGCACATGTTTAATACAGTTGTAAAATAAACAAAATGTAGACGCTAGTAAAGTTTACAGCACTATTTATTACTTTGACCTGTTTTGTAGTTTATTTAAGAAAATTATTACAAGCAAACTATAATACAACTTTGATACATTTCTCCAGTATTTCTAACAAGAATTGTTTTTCAAATATATTTTTTTCATAAAAAAAATTCATTCAAATCCTGGAAAATAGACATTTTTAACAAATTTAAAGCTTGTGCTGTAAAAAACAATAAAATGTTTTCCATTAATCACACACACACATGCACAATTCTCACCATTTATAATTTTTTACTATTAGGTTCTTGCAATGCTTAATCAAGAATATATTGTCACCAATACAATAGGTGTGTTTTAATTACAATTAATAAATTCAATTTGACAATACAGCTATGTAGCTTTTCCTAATGTTGGGTAGTTACTCATACACAAAAACTATGTTTAAATAATGTCATTGTTTTTTTTTAATTCTTGCCACCAAAACCTTCTCTGGCAGTTGATACCTAAATATACTTTCTTGCAATTTGTAATTTCAAGCACCACAACTTGATTGTTTTTGTGGCTGTTAGTTGTTTTAGCAGTAAAGATTTTTTTATAATTCCCGATTCTTGTCGTGAGAAAACAACTCTGTACAAGACAACATTGATAAGAAACTCACTTTTTGTCATTCTGAATTATAAATAAAGGTGATCGATTCTATTAAGAACAATACCATATTTACCTTTTAAAATTTAAATACTACAAAAATGTGTAACAGCAAACTAAAAAATCTCAAACATAAGATAACCATTTTCATTAATGCAAAGCAATATTCAAGAGATGCTACAACATATTTTTTCCATATTTAAGTTTATACAAAACATTCCTTAAGATTTTTCTATGTGGACCCAAGGTTTTCTTAATATTCTGTGGGTATAACAGCTCTATAAAACAGTACTAATGCGTATAGCTTTATTAAGAAATGATTAAGTTTAAATTTCACAAACTGCTACTTGTTTGATAATGGAATGGAAAAAGCAAACTACCAGAAATAACTTTAAGTAGCTCCTTTTAATAAAATAAATTATTTCACTTGAACCATAATTAATAAATAAGCAATTACAGTAAAACAATTTGTAACGAGATGAAGTTGCGCTCCACAAAATCTACTCTAAAACTGACCATCTATGGTAAGCATAATTGTATTTTATACAAGTGATTTACACATTCAATATTCATTTTATCATAACTAAGTTTATTACATTAATTTATTTTAATAACAAATAAACATCCATTTCAAGTTTTTAAAATTATTATCTAATCATTGTGATATGACCAACTGTTGCAAAATAACACAGGATTATCAGAGAATACAACTTGAAGTTTTGTCTGTCATCATGGTATAATGATTACTAACTGTTGAAGTATAAATGCAGGAGATATTCTTGTTTCATCTTCTTTTGTTTTTAAAACCAAAGAAAATTAATTTTGACTTTTAAAATAAAATAACTATAGTTTTCAACTGGGATTCATAATTTAATTATACAATAAATAATTATGCTGTTAGAGAAAAAACGACTATAGCGGGTGTAACAATAATAATAAAATTCACATTACCATCACTATCTTTATGATGTAAGTTGCAAGAACAAAAAACTGAAATATTAAATAAATTGTTTCCACATCTACAGATTGAAAAAGAAGAAAACATACATGTAGAAAAGTGAAACTTGATGCACAAATTTCAAAAGCATTTTTGGTGAATGGCTGATCTCCAAACTGGCACAATAATTTGATGGTCCAACACTAGTGGAATGAAGAATTGTTAATAAGGGAAGATATTTCCAGTCTTACAGACCTATGCTATTAAATTTAAGGTACAGAATTATCACTGTTCTATCATTATAAGAAACAATAATTAGGGTGCATAGTTGTAGTACGCCTAGCAATAACATGAAACTAGCTAGGATAAGTAACATTAAGGAAACATACAAGTCAATTTTATGATAAACATGTTCAAGAAATACAAAACATATCCACATATGAGATTAATTTCAAATTTTTAGTCAGAAAATATATATATATCCTGTCATCATAAAATACACATTACAAACTGACTCCTTAAATAAGCCAAAATATTGTGCGACTAGAAAATATTACTTTTTTTTTCTCTCGTTTTATGACTAAAACCAAAAGATATAACAATATAATTTCATTTTGACTATTAAACAAATCAAAGAAAAATAATATTAAATGCAAAATTCTTAAAAAACTTTAATATTAGAATTTTTGCTGTTGCGACTGATGAAAATATTAGTTTTATTATAATATTATGAACATAGGATATGTTAAATTGTAAAATAGAAGCAGTTTAAAGAACAATTCTGTTGTTAAAATGTTCTGCTGTTGGCATGGATAAAATCGTCATCTGATAGAGTTACGAAATTTGTGAAACAATTTACATTACCATTCATTTGTTTGATGAATTAAACTGAAAAAGCTACTCGTACTGCTGGCTATCACTTAATAACAGATCTTATCAACCAATCAGAAAACAGTATAATGAGTCCATCATTTAAATTAAATTATTTGAAGCAAGGTAATAAGAATTAGATAAAATAAATTTATATAAATAAATAAACAGATCGATAGCTAGATCTTACACAGTCCACTTTTTTTCTGGAGTTTTCAATCTAAACAGCAATTCAAACTATATGTATATTGAAAATATTTTAAATATATTTGATATGTTGATGTTTCAATGTAGTTTTACTAACCTGATGCAAAATTTTCCAGAAACAGGTACATTCAGCTGATTTCATAAAACTGCTTACTTAACACATTTCAGATACACAACCTGCTATACTTAGCTGTTTATACAAAACTTTTTTTAACTTCAGGTCAGCAATTCACTCTTACTGTCTAATCAAGACTTTTTAGAGCACCTAAATGGAATAAAGGATTGGCCTTAAAAGGTGAAAAAAGACTCGTGATACCTCGTCATTCATTAGGCCACCCCAACAAGCAGACCAATCTGATTCCATGATCACACAAAGTTACTGTGCTTGATTTAAACAAAAGGCAAGCTTTTTTAACACAATACTGCCTAATGACAAGTTTACAATCCAGCTGGTCCAAAACACCCATAGTTTACCAATACGTTATTCATCCTTGTCCTCCTCCTGGAGCTGGATGAGGGTCCACCTGCACAGAAAATAAAGTTTTTATAATTAGAAAAGTAACATTTGCTGTGTAAAACAAACTCTCTTTTAATATACTCGTCTATCAAAGCAGAACATACAAATAATTCAGCTTTACTTATCAAAGCAATGAACTTAATGTTTCAAAATAATACAAGGTATTTCAGATAATCGCTAATGTACTTAATGTGGTACATAACACGTGTACCTACTTTTCTTAACAATAGAAGTCGAAGAACGATTTATAAGCATAAAGAAGAATTTTATTGATGGTGAAACATACTACATGTTTCAACAGAATAACTGGTGTCAAATATTCCTGTCAACGTCAAATTCTCACAAAAACCTGGCCCTAAATGAAAATCGTTACTAAACAAAAAATATTTAGAATCACACAATACCAA